ACTCCCAAATGAGCTGTTAAACAGGGCTTCGTGTGATCGGCCTTTTGGTGAAGCAATGGCCTAATTAAGTGGCTGGTGAGCGCAATCCTAAGACACGTATTATGAAACAGTAGAACATGCTACAGATATGACTGCGTTTTTGTGTCAAATTAAGATGTTAAAACAGATAAATACAAAATACATATATGTACATCAGATTTACTGCTCTATTTACAGAAAGTAAACACGTTACCTGTGTCCCTTATGAGTTAAGAAATCCCACTAAATTGTTAAAGAGCACGTTTGTCCTATGACATATCTAAAGAAAAAGAACACGATGGACAGAAATAGAAATAATTAACGACACCAGAGAAGCTAACGTGGCTTTTAAACATCGACAGACTGAATATTTATTGAACAAAGCTGCAGTTATATTATTAATAATGAACTTGTAATGTTTAATGAACAAACCTGCTCTGTGTAACCAAAGCTGAGGGTTGATAACAGCGTCCAGTAGCGACTGGCAAATACTGTAAATACACGAACTGGAGAGGCGTAAGTTTGTTACCAGTTTACAGTGAATAAATCCTGATTAAATCCTTCCTTGCGCAGGAATATCTTTCCAAACCCCTGTATGAGATCTCATGTGTCTCTTTAGAGTATTTGAGCGAGGATATCTTTTCCCACACTCAGAGCAGGTGAATGGTTTTTCTCCTGTATGAGTTCTCATGTGTGACTTCACATCACCTGAATGAGAAAATCTTTTCCCACACTCAGAGCAACTAAATGGTCTTTCTCCTGTATGAGTTCTCATGTGTGCCTTCAGAGCACCTGACTGAGAAAATCTTTTCCCGCACTCAGAGCAGCTAAATGGTCTTTCTCCTGTATGAGTTCTTATGTGTGCCTTTAGAGCACCTGAGTGAAAAAATCTTTTCCCGCATTCAGAGCAGCTAAATGGTCTTTCTCCTGTATGAAATCTCATGTGTCTCCTCACATCTCCACTTCGAGGAAATCTTTTCCCACACTCAGAGCAGCTAAATGGTTTTTCTCCTGTATGAGTTCTCATGTGTGTCTTCAGATGACCTTTTTGAGAAAATCTTTTCCCACACTCAGAGCAGCTTATTGGTTTTTCTCCTGTGTGAGTTGTCATGTGTGTCTTCAGAACTCCACTTTTACAAAATCTTTTCCCACACACAGAGCAGCTAAATGGTCTTTCTCCTGTATGGGATCTCATGTGTATCCTCAGTGTTGAACTGTGACTATATTTTTTCCCACACTCAGAGCAGCTAAATGGTTTCTCATCAGCACTATATTCCAAATCACTCACAGGGTCTTCATCATTTCTAAGAGAGTTTAAACCTGACTGAGGTTCTCTGGTCTCTGTCCAATCATCATCATCATCATCACTGTCATCAGTCTCAGGTTGTAAATGTGTATCTGGATCTGAGTTCCTGGCTGGTTCTGGTCCTCCACCGTCCTCTCCATCAGCTCCAGTTTCCATCTGTTCAGTGTGTCTTTGATGAAGCTGTGAGGACTGAGGTTTCTCTTCATCATCTTCACTCTTCACAGGGACAGGAGAGAATGTGAACTCCTGTTCCTCTTTAATGTGTGGAGGCTCTGGGTCCTCCTGGTCCTCTTTAATGTGTGGAGGCTCTGGGTCCTCCTGTTCCTCTTTAATGTGTGGAGGCTCTGGGTCCGCCTGGTCCTCTTTAATGTGTGGAGACTCTGGGTCCTCCTGGTCCACACTGGAGCTCCACTCCTGCTGCTCAAGGGGAACCTCTTCTTTAACCACCAACAGCTGCTGGACGTCTGCAGGAAACAGGAAACACACAGATGTTACAGAGAAATGTTGTCGTTCATTCACATCACAGCTCAAAAACTCCTACTTAACTTCTACAGATCTCTGAGCATCAAACAGCTTCACAGTGTTCACTCAGCTGTGTCAGAGTGAATGAGGTTGAGCTAAGCTTTCATTTTCGCAGCAATCATTAACATCCATTGAGACTCTTGTCATGTTGGGAGGCTCCAGTGCAGCTCTTCATTTGTTCACGCTTCTGTGAATCATTAAGTTAAGTTTATTTACTTTATTAATCCCCCTGAGGGGAAATTCAATGTTTTCACTCTTGCTTGTCCGAAAGACACACACATGCACAAACAGGACCTATACATGCACAAAGTGGAGAGATGTCAGAGTGAGGGGGCTGCCCTTTGGTCAGACACCCCGAGTGGTTGGGGGTTCGGTGCCTTGCTCAAGGGCACCTCTGCAGTGCCCAGGAGGTGAACTGGCACCTCTCCAGCCACCAGTCCACGCTCCATATTTGGTTCAGACGGGGACTCGAACAGGAGACCCTCCGGTTCCCAACCCAAGTCCCTATGGACTGAGCCACTGCCATGGAGAATGACTGTTCATGGGATGCCAGAGTTTGCTGTGAGTCAAGTTTGACAGCTTGCCCATTGAGATCTGTTTCCTCTAACACTGTCCTGGCCCAAACAGCAAACAAAGCATGCATTAGCAGGTAGCTACCCCCCCAGGTGCTGTGCTCAAACCACTGAAGTACTGCAGAAGGTGTTAAGGCGGAATTAATACTTCTGTGTTGAACCACTGTCCATGTTTGTGAGCTGAAACCATTTCCCTCAGTGGAAACAAAGCTTTAATTTACTTTAATTTCACAGATAAGAAACAAACTGTGAAGAAGAGGAAATCTCTGCTATTTGCTAGGCTAATTTATACAATGTAAAACGCCATAGGCTTGTGCTAAAAACATTAGCATATTGTATTTGTGGGGACAATGTGTCCAGATAAAGACAAGTACTTTGTGAGCTACAGTGAAGCTGAGCTGTGTAATTGTGTTTGAAATTGTTCCTACTAAGCCATGTTTAATGTGTGTTTTAGGTGTTTTGAATCAACTAAACTTTATAGCATCTCACAGAGCCCCAACGGAAAATAGCTAACAACATAGGAGAAGCTAATGGATCCGGAGAAGCTAACGGCACCAGAGAAGCTAACGACACCAGAGAAGTAGGGATGTCCCGATCCGATCCTTGGATTGATATCGGCGCCGATCACGTTATTTTTACAAAATTGGTAATAAAAGATCAGAGATATCAAAACAACAATAGCCAGGTTTTTCATCTATGTTGTTCATTGTTGCCTCCGCTTTCCAATGTATAAAGTGTGGCGATCCTGTATTTTTTTAAATATATTTTTTATAAGACAGTCAGCTGATGGCTTGTTACCGCCGGTGCCGATGGAAAATTTTGAATTGCAAGTGGGTTTTTTTGTGTTTTTTATGTGTGCTAACTTCTGAGCAAGATGTGGCGACACATTCCTGGCATGAAGCCACCGTCAGAAAAAAGGAAAAACTAAGATGAACATGTTGGACTTGTACAAGAAGAACAGACAGTTAAACGGAGTACAAATATCGCACGGCATTTCACTGAAGAATGGAAACTAGATGAGGCTGGCCAGCCGCGGTCGTGGCTGACCTCCGACCCCCACACCAACACGATGAGCTGCAGCCTTTGTCGCAAGCACCCCAAAGAAACACAGAGGCCAAATCCCTTTGTTTGAGGGACACGGAACATGAAATTATTAGGGCTGCAGTCTCCTGGTTGACTAGTTGATTATTTTGTCACTGTGCTCTCGTCCGACCAAATTTTCATTAGTCGAATAATCGCCGTGTTACTTTGATGAGGAGAAAAGTGCTCCATCAATAGTTTTCCAGGATTAATCCATTATTTCCTGCAGCAGGGGGGGAGACAACAGGCTAAGTTACCTGTGAAAATGGGGGTCTTTTCAAAATTTATTGTGAAGTCACAATAAATTGTGACTTCACATCACGTGTAACAACGAAATTGTAGCTTTCCGACAAGGCCAAGCACTTGTCGGTAGTCTAATGTTTTCATAGCGAAAAAAAATGATAAAGTTACACTAAAATGATGTATAACAGAGCTTTCATACAGAAATGCCACAGATATCACATGAAAGCACAGGAGCAGAGTTTCCAATGATACCACACACATCATTGTCCTGTCATCTCATCATGCTGTAAATCCAGATTTATTGTCTACAAAATAAAAACCTGACAAATTTCTTCACAATCAATTATATCAATCAATCAATCAATCAGTTTTATTTTTAAAGCCCAATATCACAAATCACAATTTGCCTCACAGGGCTTTACAGCATACGACATCCTTCTGTCCTTATGACCCTCGCAGCGGATAAGGAAAAACTCCCCAAAAAAACCCCTTTAACGGGGAAAAAAAACGGTAGAAACCTCAGGAAGAGCAACTGAGGAGGGATCCCTCTTCCAGGACGGACAGACGTGCAATAGATGTCGTACAGAACAGATCAGCATAATAAATTAACAGTAATCC